TAAAGCAGCTAATGTTTCAAATGGCGGAGGCCATGACAATCCAGGACTCAGCATGGGAACTGAATGAAGACACCCTTCTGGAAGGCAAAGCCCCGCGGAAAGTCTTGAGGAAAGTTCTACAGGAATGTGCTGTGACTCACGGTCGCCTGTACCACGAGTACCCATTATATCGTTCAATAATAAAGCAGTTAATGCTTCACCATTGGCCATGCCTCAGGAAATGCAAATAGCGACCCAATGGGTCACAATGACCCAACCAGTTACTCCAAAACCTACTGTGACAAAGTGTACTTTTAACTGTTCTACTTTATGTTAAAACTATGGTTATCTAGAAATGACAGAAACTGAGGTACCAACTAAAGCAAACACAGTTAAGCCATACAGACAACACCAGAGTAGCCACAAGTTTAAAGCTTTGAAACAATATCACAAACCCTTGCCAACTCTTAGAGCAGGCCCCCATGTAGGCTATAATATGAAAGGTAGAATTTGGTGGGCACCTAGAGGAAAGAGTAGTATGCAAAACTTGGAATGGCTTGACCCTCCACTACCTCACACAGGTGCATATGATGATGAGATGGTTAGAAAAGTCTGGATAGATGAAAGACATGTTAAGTAAAAAAAAAAAAAACAAAAACTTATCTTTATAGAAAAAAATAAAACGCAGTGGGCCCCCTTGGTGCCTGCTTTCTAAAACCCAAAAAGGTCAGCACTTAGTAAAAAGTGAAATGATTGGTATATATAAATAAATACAGACACTGCCTCACCACAGACAGTGACCTTTAAATTAAACTACATAAAGGTTATATGCCTAACACCTTTATATCTATATAGACTATTTACCTTTATAAAGCCTAAGTTTTACTTTCCACTTGCTAACCTTTTGACTAATATTAACCTTGCCCTTATAATAAGTTACCACTTCCAGGAACAGCTAGTTTCTTATATGTAGACATTATTAAACCGTATAATTATGCAAAAAATCATAAGAATTGTAAAGTCATTAGTACGTCATACAATCGTTTCGATATGTTTTGATTGTCAATTTTTTCCTTTACTGTTAACTTTCTGCTAAGTGTGCCAAAAATTATGATATGCATAAATCAGCACTGCTGTGCTTCAGCGCCAGCGGGCCTGAACAGAAACTCTGGCCACGACTCTTCCCTCCCTCGCCTCATCACGCCTGCTTCTCCACCGTGAACCGCCCGGAGCT